TAGGACATATTATGGCGTAGAGTATTAAATGTTATTGCAGATGGTTTACAAGTAATGAGCTTCTTAACTTGCGCAGAACATTCTTAAGAGGGCGAAATCTGCGTTTCGAACTTCGGTAATATAATCTAACCGGTCGGCGGCAAATTTGTTTGTTACAGAATTTATTTAATACTTGTTTGCCACTAATTTTGGCGTAGAGTATGAATTATTAAGATTGATGGTTTAGAACGAACAAGCCTCTTCACATGTTCAGAGCTCTCATAAGAGGGCGAAATCTGAGATTCGAACTCGGGTAAAATAATCTAACTGATCCGCGGCAAATTCTTTCGTTACAGATTGTATTTCATACTTGTTTGTGTCAAATTTGGGCGTAGTGTATGAATTGTTATGGCTGATAGTTTAGGAGGAATGGGCTTCTTAACTTTCGCAGTGCTCTTGTAAGAGGGAGAAATCTGGGATTCGAACCCGGATAATCTAACCTGTGCGCGGCTTTTTTATTTATTTATTTTATTTTTTTACAGGTTTTCTTTAATACTCATTTGCGTCAAATTTTGGCGCAGCGTGGCTGATGGTTTCAGAGGAACGGGCTTCTTCACATTTTCAGAGCTCTCATAAGAGGGCGAAATCTAAGTTCGAACCCGGGTAATTGAATCGAACCAGTCCGAGGCAAAAGTTTAGTTTATAGATTATATTTAGCACTAGTTTACGGCAAAGTTTGGCGTAGAGTATGAATTGTTACGGCTGATGAATTACAGGGTTCGCCTCGTTTCTTCTTCGACGGCGCTTGCAAAAGAAACGTAACTTTTTTTTGGGGGGGTGTTAATGTTTTTGAAAGAATGGAGATATAGTTTGATATCTTCACTAATCGTTTATAAATAAAAAGCGGCAAATTTGGAGTACAGTTTTGTGTATATACTTGCAATATTAGCGGATTTAGAGGTGTGGTCCTGAACACCGAAATTTATGAGAAAATGACCCGCGGCAAATTTTTCTTTTCCACATCTTAAAAACGGTAAATTATGGACTATGAAGTTTTGTTATTGGATGAAAGGGTCCTGCTAACTTCAAGGACGTCTCCAAATGTCATATTTACTGAGACCATCTTTACGTAAACCACCTGATGTCTGCTATTACACTCTGTTGCGGGAGCTGAAATTGAAACTTCCTGCCCCTGTGAAACCTCTCAAAAATCCGGTCCCTTGGAAACATTTCCGATCCCTAATGCATTTCAGCTTGTCCAACTTCCCTGAATCATAAACTTCACCATAGAATACCTAAAGTGGTTCCATGAGTTGCGGGCATCTTATTCAGACCATACTTTCATGAAAACTGTCGGCTCTGCCGCAAATGACTATGATGTGTGCGTTCTACTGTAGAACAGCCACACGGTCATTCAAAAGTCACCGGTTCTGTAGCGATTTATTATGAAGTTATTCCCAAAGTGCACTCCACTCACTTAACTTTTTTCTCTCGGATCATTTGACTACAATATATCTATATTGTCTCTACGACTTAGTAGTACGTTGGGTACCGGGTCATGTGGGAATCTCTGGCAATGAGCTAGCCGATGAAGACGCAAAAACAGCCACTTGGATGTCATCTGTCGATATTCCTTATGTCCCATCAGCAGAATCTAAAGCTTATTTAAAACAGTCAATACTCAGTTCCTGGCAGAGTGGCAGAACTCATATTTTAAACTCTACAGAATCAAGGATTCCATAAGGCCTTGGTTTACCTCATCTCGTGGGTCTAGGCGCGAGGAGATAATTCTCACGCGCTTTCAGTTCGGTCACTGCCATTACTCCTACAGCCATCTCCGCGATGATCCACCTCGTACTAGCGATAGTTGCGAGACGAATGCAGCATGTTCTCTTGCACAGTTCTATTTGACTGCTAACTGGAGATTTTAAAGTGTTTGGCTAATTTCTACCAACCCCCTTTCCACCACCACCTCTACCACCACCGCCACCACCACCACCACCACCACACCTCTCACCACGGACATTTACTACAACCACTGCACACACTACACTGAGTTCTACCGACTAGTGCCGCTACGAGTTTACCAGTATATTAGTTTACAGTACTATTAGTTCTACCAGTACTATTAGTTCTACAGTATATTAGTTCTACCAGTACTCATTGTTTCTACCAGTACTATTAGTTTGTACAGTACTTATTAGTTGTACCAGTACTATTAGTTTGTACGCAGTACTATTAGTTTGTACGCAGTACTATTAGTTGTACAGTATTAGTTGTACGGCAGTACTATTAGTTGTAACCAGTATATTAGTTTGTACAGTCCTATTAGTTGTACCAGTACTATTAGTTTGTACGCAGTACTGTTAGTTCTAGCCGGCACTATTAGTTCCAACGGGCATATTAGTTTGCAGCACCGGACAACTATTAGTTCCACGCGGCACTATTAGTTCCATACGGCACTATTTAGTTCCACCAGACCGGCACTATTAGTTCACCGCAACTATTAGTTCATCCGGCACTATTAGTTCCACCGGCACTATTAGTTTCCACGGCACTAGATTAGTTTCCAACGGCTACTATTAGTTCCACCGGCACTATCTAGTTCCACCGGCACTATTAGTTACCGGCACTAATTAGTTAGCAGCCGGCACTATATAGTTCTACCGGCACTATTGTTCACCGCCATATTAGTTCGCACCGGCAAACTATTGTTCTACTACCGGCATATTAGTTCACCGATATTAGTCTCCCGGCACTATTAGTTGTCCACCTGCACTATTAGTTCAGCGGCATATTAGTTTCTTACCGGCACTATTAGTTCTACGGCACTATTAGTTCTACGGCACTATAGTTTCTAGCTACCGGGCACTATTAGTTTCTACCGCACTATTAGTTCCAAGATATTAGTTTTACTCGGCACTTTAGTTCCACCGGCAATCTATTAGTTCCCACCGGCAACAAATAGTTCTGACGGAACTATTAGTTCATCGCCACCTATTAGTTCTACGGCATATTTAGTTCCACCGGACTATTGTTCACCGCCCACTTATCAGTTTCACCGGCGACTATCAGGTTCTACGGCATTTTGAGGCACGCTGTGCTGATAGTGAGTGTGTAGACTCCTACTGTCACTAAATCAAAACCCCTTTTTCTAATGAGCCTGGTACTTGCGCTCGGGAAGCGGTATGTG